TGATCCTAATAACCAAATACTGAATTCATAGTTTCTTCCCAATGATAAGTGATTATGATGTTTTCCCCAAGTCAATTTGACATAAAAAAACTGTTCATAATTTTGAATTGGAAAAAGGCTAAAATGATGATGATAGTGAAACGGTTCATAGTTTCCGAGGCCCAGGTCAACCTTAACAAAAGAAGAATACACAAGTGATCATGTAAGCTACACTAACCATTTCTTGATATTTTCAATTAAAAAACTGCATATAGTATTTGCTAAAAGAAAACTACAAAAAGCTTTTACATCAAACACAAAAGAACAATGCCATGTTAAGAATGGAAACGATAATCAAGATTGGGTAATAAATACAGTGAAAATAGATGCATAAAATATTTACATCCCAGAAAATCAGAACAAGAGCTTTTCATCGACTTCATGCTTAAAAATAAAATGGATTACAGAAAAGGAATGAGAAGGCCATGTAAGAGGACCACAAAAATGAGTAAAATGGCATTTTAGAAGTAGATGCATACCTCACCACCATCATCTAGGACAAACACCTCCCCATGTTCAAAAGGAGACATGGTTCCAACATCAGTATTCAGATATGGATCTGCACAGCTTAAAGAAATTCATAGCGACATGAAATTTCAATCAAAAGAAGAGAAAAAAATAAATAAGGCTAACAAGATGCCTGTGTGCCAAATGAGCCCTTAGATCCCCACCCCCGGTCATCTCATTTCGTGAGTGATTTTTTTTTAGACTTGTGTTTCTCTATCCATATTGCATCATTTTCTCCAAATCAATATGTGTTTATCCCAATCCAGAATATAAATTTACAAACAAATTTTACTAGGAAAGGAAAAAAATAAATTTTACTAGAAAAAAAAGTAGTAAAGGCAAATACCATTTGTATATTTTAACACAATTAACTGCAAAAAACTTTCATTCTCATAAAACTCAAGCATAGAATTTTGAAGTGTACAATTCAGAATTAGAATGAGAATCCTTCAAGGTTTCTCCATCAATGTCACAGTCTAACTCTTACTAACATTCAACATGAAAGATTTTAACAGAGAAACAATAGAACGGCCATATTCAGGCCATGAGACCAGCAAAATCCCTTTTCTCCCTCTGCTATGGCATTTCGCCAAAAAAGCAGCACCAACACCATCGATCAAATTACCAGACGGGAAATAGTTCAGATCCTTAACAAACCCCAATTCATCACCTTCATCTTTACAATCCCTCTGCTTCGATGTTTCAAGCTTGAAAACTAGGGTTTCATCAACGGGAAGTGTGCCTCTGTAATTGCAGCTCTGAATCGAACCAAAAATAGGGTTTTCTCTGGCTTGATCTCGTCAATCACGAGCTTTGCCAGGGCTGAAGCTCGGTCAGCGCATACAATGTACTGGATCAAAAGCAGGAAGGTAAGATTTCAGGCGATGAATCTAACTTGAAAATGTTACAGGAATTGTCGGAGCGTGAGGGTTCTAGGGTTTTCTCGGAGACTGGAATCTTCGGTAAAACTAAGGTTCCAATGAGGGTTTTGCATGTGACGTGGTGGAGAAAAAAGCAGGAAGGTTTGGGATTGGCGACGATTAGGGTTTTGGGATGAAAATTAAGGTCAGAAGGGTCGGTATTTGACCAAAGGATGAAGGGTCTAGGCAGTGGAGGAGGTGGAGGGCTAAATGCGTTGAGATCTTCGAAATCAAGCATTGAAGAAGGTGGAAAGTCGGTTATTACATCATCCATGGATGTGTAACACTAGGGTTTTCTGACAGAGCTCACTAGATTGCCAAGGGTTTTACAAACTTGACCCCTTCTCTCGATGCATCTCTCTCTTGGGTTAAGCTCTAGGGTTCTTTGCAGAAAGATTTGATGGAGGGCCTAGAATTTCATTAACTTCCTCTACACACTTTTGGCGCCGACTTCTCTTCGCGCTCTCTCTCCCTCTCTCATTTTTCACGAACTCTCTTTTTTTAATTTTCACAAATGCAAGCCTGGGTTGGGCTCTCTCTAGATTTTAAAATGGTATACAATGAGACTCCCTATCTTATATTCATTTCGCTTGGGCTGGTCATGAAGTTTGAGATTTTTTTTTTGAATTTAAAGGTTTTTCAATGATACTTTGACAACTACTCAATATTAAATTCAATTGACAAGAGTGATTGTGATTTCTTAAAAATAACTGGTCTCCTTGTATATTTTTTCTTTTTTGTAGGTAGATCAAAGGTAAGAATCGAATTTGAAATATAACAATGCTAGGCATCGGCTACTAACCACTCATGCCTAAGCGAGATTCTATCAACATGCATTCACTATGCTCTCTACTAGGGTGTACACTAAACTACAACCCTCTTCTTGATGCCAGAGTATGTTCTCCTATAGGAGTGGATTGTACATTTATTTTCCTGTATACGCATGTATGAGTATTGTTGGGACTACATATTTTAAATATGTAACCTCTTCAACCAGAATTTTGTATCAATGAAGTTGACCGGCAAATAGTACAACATACTAGCTTTGTTTTATGGAGCAGAATGCTAGGCGGTTAAAAAACAATATAATCACAGAATGAGTATAGCAGAGATGAAGATGTTGAGAGGGTTGAGCGGCAAGATAGGAATAGATAGAATACAAAATGAATATATTTGATAAATTTTAGGTGTGGCACCAATAAACAATAAGATGAGAGAAAGTAGATTTAGGTGGGCTAGCCATATGTGGTGTTGACTCAGTATAACACCTGTTAGAAAGTGTGAGTTAGTTCAAGTGGAAGGCTAAAAGAGGCAAGGGGTAGGCCCAAAATGACCGGGTTGTATGAGACTTATGACCTCTAGTATACGATCCCTAATAGCGGACCAGGATTCGTATAGACGACCCCAATGAGTTGGGACAAGCCTTTGATGTGGATGATGAACCTCTTTTAAGGAGCCTCAAAATAGGTGCCTTCCACTTTTAAGGAGCCTCAAAATCATTTGTTGTTAAGAACTTAGGTGGATCCTATAATTTCATACCATAAAATCTTTTTTAGTAGCTCTTTTGCCCCAGCCCTTAGGGAATGTGCGTGAAGTAGCTCCTATAAAGGAGTAAATGCAAGACTCCTTTGTCCCCTTTTTATTACTCTAACATCACAATCTCTCTCCACTCTTAATCTCTCTTGGCCCAAGCTCTAACCCGAGTTTTCTGTAGTTTTAATAGATATGTTCCAAGCAATGGTTCTTAGCTTCCACCCATGAGTTTTCTACTTCTACCTTTTATGAAGCTTCTAATTTATCATAATTCTCCAAAAACACAACTTTCTCAATTATTGAACAAGGCCTTAACTTAAGCTAATTTCCCACCCTTTCTCTTAGTTGTGTGACTAACTTTTCCAACTCTTCTCTACATTCAAATAGTATTTCAATAACAACAATGGGCTCCGACTCACTTGGGTCTGATCTCTATCAGACCCACCCTATGAACCAAATTGATGTATTTGATAAAGATTTTTCTTGAAAAGCTAAATGCCAGAGAATTTGGTCCACTCCGTTGTTCTCAATGCCAAAATAACATAGCTTGTGATCCTAATTGAACTCAAATGATTCCAATTCAAGTTTTTACGATTTCTAGTTAGAATAAAAATAGTTGCAGTTGAATGTCATGAGGGCAAATAAACTTACCAGAAAAAGGGAAAAAGTTCTGTAAGGTATTAATTTTAGGGAAATAATATAATGAGACCATTTATTTTTTTGCACAAGGTGGTCACAATTAATCTTCACCATTGGATGTGAAATTGAGTGATTGCATTTATTTCATTCACCAAGCTAAAAGTTCAAAAGAAATTTTCTCGAACTTTATAACACACGTAAGCTATTAGATTTCACATCGGATAGTTGTAAGTAATTATGACCTCTCTGTACAAAAGATAAATGATCTCATTATATACAATCCCTTAAATTTATATTATAAAAGTAAGGTACACATAAAAGATCCACTTGAAAATATTGATAAACCCCTTGATCATGTGATGAAGGATATAGAAAAATCGAAACAAAGATCTAGATTCTTAAAAATAGTGCTAAGATATTATTTGGACAATATATATTTTTAGCTTTAAATTTGATAGTTAAAAAATAAACATTGCTTTTGAAAATATTATAGGTCGCACTTCTACACGAGCATACCTCTACACATCCAACATCCGTCTTAAAGATGGATGCCAAATAACGGTAGGCCCACAAAAACTTAAAGGGTGTGGTTTGTATAGAGCCGAGGATCTAAACAATTAAAATAAAGTGCACCTTCAAATATTGTCAAGAAATGTGATTTCAATATGGAAATCTTTGTGATAGCTTTAAAATATATTTTCATCTTTAATTATAAATTTAAAGCTTAAAAAATAGTGTAGATCAAGGAGATCTATGAAAACTTGTAAATCTTGAAAATTGGTGGTCCAAAAATACGTTATAAGATGCACTATTTTCAAAACTTGAAATTCATTTTTTATTTATGTCCATGCATTTTGATATTAGGATGATTAATTTGAGGATATTTGGGCATCAAAACAATCTCTTATAGTGAAAATTTTGAGGTGGGCTCTAATTTGATTATTTAGAGCCTCAATTCTATATAAACTTTGTTCAAACTTAAAACAAATAATGTTAAAAATATATTAATATAATTTTCGTTTAAAAAAAATACGCGATGAAATTATTTACCTTTGGGACAAGATGGTCGCAATTAATTTTGACTATTAGATACGAAATTGGATGGTTTTATTTATTCCATTGACTATACACAAACTTTAAAAGAATTTTTTTTGAACTTTTTTACTATCAAATTTTACATGTGGCGGTTATAAATAATTGTGTCTCCCAATAGTAAAGGTAAATGGTCACATTGTATGAATCCCGTTTGTTTATTTGTACATTCATCTCCACCGTTATTGAGATTTTCAATATAATTTTTTTTTAATCAAAGAGAGATGACTTGCGGAGAAGGTAGGAGGATCAGGACGTAAGCGACTAACTACTCGAGGCCCGAGTCACAGACGCAGAACGTAAGTCAAAACTCGGGACTCGCCAAAACCGTAAATTGTATGTAGCTATATTTTTGTACATTTCCCAGCTGATGTTGGCTATGGGAATTGGACTGGTGGAAATTAGGGTTTTGGCCTAATTCGTGGGCTTTTAAAATTTAAGGGGCGAAACTGAGAAATTTGATCCGACCTTGAAGTTTTTCCTCAGACAAATAACAAGATTGAGTTTCATCATCATTTACTTGGAGAGAGAAAGTATCATGTTCATTTTTTAGTAGAGAGAGAGAGAGTGCGTTGCAGGGAATTGAGTAATGGCAATTGGTCGTAACAGAAGGAATGGGAGATCGCATACTGTATTATTCTCCTACAGGCGGCCCTCCCACTCTTGTTCTCTCTGGTATTCTACCACTTTCTTTTACTAGCTCCTCTCTTTTATTTACTCTATGTAATTATACATGATCCCTTTCCTCAAATTTATCATACTTATGTTTCCTAATTTAACTCAGTTTCTATCCATTTATCTCTAAATAATTTAGCTCAGTTTCCCAAATTTACTCTGTGGAAGAATTGGGAGTTAACCATAAGAAAGCAAGTTATGATTCAGATTAAATTTAGCACATAACTGAACTTTTGTTTTCTTTAATCATGATTCATGTGCTTGCATTCTTTGAGCACATCACAGTATAGAAGCTCCAGTTTGGCTATATTATCACTTTCGAGCAATTATTTTTGTTAATAGACGACAGCGTTTGTTTGACATGATGTTTATGATTTTGCTTCAATGCCTTGTTGAGTTCACTCACTGAATCTGTTCTCTTTTCCAGCTATTGCGATTATAAGATTTTTACCTTCAATGATGTATTGTTCTCATTTGGACACAAACATGCGAGGTATGCCTAAGCATCTACCATAGCTACACTTTTAATATTTTGACACTTTGAATTTTGAAGTATTTGAAGGCCTCTGATTATGGTTGAATATGCAAGTTCACTTCTTTTTTCCTTTCATCAACCTTTATCTTCCACTTTATTAGTATTGTCTCTTAGATGTTGCATTGATTTTCTAGATAGGATTGTTCCATTTTTTACGATTGTATAATTTGTTGATCTTCACTTGATTTGAATACTTAAAATTTGTTCCCAGGTTCTTAAGACTTTGGTTTTCGATTGGGGTTGTATTTAGCTTTATCACTTTGATGGGAGTTGTAACAGTAAGTGTGTAACATCTTCTCTTATGAATTCATGGTTTTCAGTATCATGCTTTCCTTTTGTTCATATCATAGGGAAAGTATAGCATGCATACCCATGATGTGTATGCTGTAAAATACACACACAGGGAATCCAATGTCCACACTTTGTTCTACTTGATAAAGCTGATTGAGCACTAGCTGAGCATGCTTCATTGCCTTTTATTGTACTATTGTTTTGCATTCATTGTTGTTGCAAAATTGAGACTTGTCTTCTGTTGGTTGTCACCAGGTTCTACTTTGTCAATCCACTTTGAGCATGTACAGTTTGAATTTGTTGATAAAGAATGTATCAGCAGATTGGTCATTTGGCTTTGCTTCTTTGGTAGGTGATCATGGATGAATGACATGGTACTCCATGGTCGAATGGACTGTCGTATATATTACTCCAAAGGGCATCCACCATCCATTTCTTCTGATGAATAGTGGAGCTTGACTGTAGTGATTGCCACCAGGACATCCATCTAAATATGGCAATCTTTTCCTCCCATCTTCAGGAGCAGATGGTGGATGGCCTTCACGGTACTGTATACCATATTTCGTTGGATTATGGTATGCGTTCCATTGAACAATTTAGGTTATATTGCGGTTGGAATCTCCAAATTCTGATCTCTGGTCTTGTATTTGTGATGGAGGTTCCTGGTTCTAGCACATCTTTTGCGGGTGCTGGATACATTCTTTGTGCCACGTTTATATCTGTTGCTGCCCATGAAATAGGGCATGCTCTTGCTGCTGCAAGGTCCGTTCTTTCGTTTACATCATATGTTACTTTAATTAGTATCCTTTGTTTCGTCCAAAGGAAACCTCGTGATCATTTATCTGATAATATTTAAGGTTTTTCCTTGTTTATTTTTCACTGATCTGACATGGAACTATCATCTCCCATCATTTTGAGACAGTAAAGTTGTTACTTAGTTTATTGACTTTATTGACTTTTTTCAAGTAATAAAATTCATTCAAAGGATACATAGACTTGGTTGCGATGATATTAGTTTGTGAAATTTTAGGCAATAGTTTTTTTCAATATACTCAGATTCCAAGCAAAGGAACCAAGTTGAAGCTTCATTTTCCTCTAAGCCATCTACAGCTAATGCGATGTAATATATGATTCTAAGTTCAAGAATTCTTTTTATAAGGGTATATTTATTTAATTGATTGCATTAGTTGTGTAAGTTTTAATCGTTTGCATTTTACTAACCTGAATAACCTCAATGTGATGCTAATGTTAAATGCATTGGTAATCTTTATTCCGTAGTAGTCAATAAATAATCTAGACTAGGAAATGGTGATGTGTGCATCGCTAATTAAACAAAAAGTGGTATATTAGGCCTGTAAGCTTTCTCATAATGGAGGTATCGATTCTCATTGCTGATATTTAGGTACTTTTGAGAAAAAAGCAGTGTGGGCGTCCGCATCGAGTATATTGCCTTATTCCTGGCAGTTATTTTTCCTGGGGCTCTCATTGCTCTTGACTATGACTTGCTTAAGAGTTTACCTCGTTGCACTACCCTTCGCATATACTGTGCAGGCATTTGGCACAATGCATTGGTGAGTCATGGGATGTACATTTATTGCCGACCGATATGTTCATCATATCATTGTTCCTGCCAATTCCTATGTGGCACGAACCTTTTTCTCTTAATTTACACCCATTGAATTCACATATATATATTTTTTCATGCATTTTTCTTTTTTCATTCCTCTAATTGTATCCTTTTCAGACATTCTCATTTATTTGCACTTTTGAATTTCTGTTGCTACTTGATCATTCGTGATGCATTTGTAAGGTTTTCGATAATTCCATCTGAGGCTTCATTTAGAAGCATTGATATAATTCTTGCAAATCTGGAGACTAATCATTAGTGAAATGGTTTCACGATTTTCATATAACCATCTTTATTTAAGGAGATAAATTTGTCATACTTGAAACTCAATGTCAGAATGGCTTTCCAAACTTGGAACTGATTTATCACATATTTACTTAGTGTTGTGCAGTTAGTTGGTTGGCCTTGTTCTTTCTTCCTTCAGTCCTTTATCCCCTCTATTTGCATGGTGAACACCCCATGGTACTTCCCTTTGCCTTTTCAATTATTTCAAGTCTCTATGTTTTTCATCCCTATTCTACTAAGTTTCGTATTTTTGAGCAGGTCTTAAGTGTGTTTCCTAGCTCACCTTTATTTGGTTATTTAACTCATGGGGATGTCATTCTCTCCGTCGATGGCATCTCTATTCATGACCCTCAAGAATGGATGGAGAAGATGGCTGGCATGGATTTCCTGACACTCCAAAATCTGCGTGTTTTGGAAAGTTCTAGAAACTCCCGAGAAGGTTCTCTGGCTATTGACCAAGGGAAGGGGTATTGTATTCCAAGTTTATGGTTAGGGGAGAACAAGAAGATTCCCTTGGTAGCTGATCAGCTTGCTTGTCCAGAGGAAACTGCACCATTTCTTGAAATACCATGTTTTAGCTCCAGTTCTTTCAACCTAAGCAGTAATGACACCATGATTGGGGAATGCTTGATAGCTAAAGATGTTGTCAAGTTTAAAAGTTGTGTTCACAAAGAAAATGTTGAAAACCATAAGAGTATCTGCTCGTGCTCACAGGTGATGTTTGAATCTTTGCTTGTTTTCTTCTATTTTTGTTTGGAGTTTAAACTTCTGCTGTTCTTTTGAAGTTTGCGTAGTTAATTTTAGATATCCTACGAGCAGAAATTTTGGGGCATGGAAGGGAATTGATGTGCTAGGTTTCAAAGAGTTGTTAGATTTAGGTTGGGAGGGTGGACTAAGGTTTAGAGAGATGTGCTGTACGGTTCTTAGATTATGGAAACTTTTGGCATTGTTGTGAAGGACTGTTGCTGCAGAATGGGCTGGTTTGTCATTTTGTAATCATATCAACCTTTAGTTGCTTACGACTATGCATTTACTTTCTAATTCAGGATGATATCGATATAATTCTATATTGTGAAGTCTTTGTGATATCAAATGGAATTAAACCTTTTGCCTGATCTTGTAGTTTGTTCTTGTTTTTTCTCTCTTCTTGGATCTAGCAATAGCGATGCATGTGTCATTGATTGCCCTGAGAGGATGCAGGAATGTGGGGAAGTGGTGTTGTATCCTACATTTAGTAGAGATTTGATATTCTGGTTTGCAATGGGGTGACAAGTCCAAGTGTGTGGGAGTTCCTCCCCCTTAAGTAGATTTAATGGGCCACTTTTTCTAGTCAAGGGCCATCATTAGCTTTCTTGATATGATGTTTTTTCTGTTGCCTAATATGTATCAAATGTTTTTATGTGACTCTCCTTCTGCTGTTATTGGTATCCCAATTCCATTGCCCATTGCTCATGATCATGATAGTAGTGCCCAAGCACCTCCTTTCTTTGGCACCATTTAGGAAAAATCTCCCTTCGACCCTTCGACCCTTCGAAAGGATTATGCACCTTTCTGGAGCTGGTGTGATCCTAGATACTGTTTGGGAGCAGTTCTCTAGGTGTCGTTCCAGTGCCTGGGCAAACATGTCGTCCATTTCAGAAAGGTGATCAATTCTAAGAGTTGCAAATTGTTCTCACTGACTTATGTGGATCTTTTCCTGTTTTTGTCAAGTGGCATTCTGAGTACTTCGTCATCATTATAGATGAATTTATTGGTATCCCTTGTGTATCTCATCCATAGGAAGTCAAAAGCTTTTGAAGCATTAAAAGTTTATCAGAAAAAAGTAGAGAACAAGCAGGGTAATTCAATTGAAGTGCTCCATAGTGATCGCGGTGGTGAGTATATTGAGGCTTTTGATAGCTACTTGAAAGAAACTGGAACAATACATCAGGCCACCATGCCATATTATAGTTGCTGGAACCTTGTAGGCAAGTATGCAGACCCGGTCCGGAACTTCGATCCCACGATTCCTTATAACTCAATGTTGCAATTCCTACATCTTGGAATCGAGATTCCCTATGACAAGGATCGAGCTCCTTTGATATAGGATTGTATGAACGGCGATCCTAACCACTAGGATCTTCCAGCTATCCAGAGTTCAGCGGACGCAAACCAGTTCTTGGGGTTCCCCTTCCCAGGAGCACACCCGAAACTGACAACTATGTGCCATATTACCCCTCAGCAAAATGGTATAGCTGAGGGGCTTAACCGCACTTTTCTGGACATGGGTAAATCTATGGGTTCAAGCATGTCTTTGTATGAATTTTTGGGGAGCTCTCTTCACTGCTTTTCATATCATTATTAGAGTTCTCTCCAAGTTTGTTCAGAGGACCCCCATATGAGTAATGGTATGGGAGGAAGCCTGACATGTCTCCCCTCAAAGTTTGAAGGTGTTCCACCGATTTCCATGTTCCTAATGTTGATTGTACCTAGCTGAGTCAGTATGCCACAAGCATGCTGTTATTGGGTATTCCAAATCCTCTATAGGACACAAATTCATTGACACTGATAGGCAAGTCATTGTAGAAAGCAAAGATGCTATTTTTGAAGAGGATGACTTTGTCTGTGGGAGCAAGAAGCAGAAGCTTGCTGTTTTCAATGCGATAGCAGTCGAAAAGGAACGCGGGATCGAAATTGAACCTATAGAAGTAACTTAAACCATTTCTTAGAAGAAGAAACCTCCAGCAATTACCCCTTGGTCTTCTTGCATACATCTTTGAGGGACATGAATTTGTCCATGATGATATTGACAAGCTGAAGGCCAGACTGGTTGCTAAGGCATTCAAGCAGAAAGAAGGCATTGACTAAGACAAGACCACCTCTCCTGTTATTCAGTTTTTTGCAATTCGAGTTCTCCTGGCCATTGTTGCCTATTTGACTATGAGCTCATTCAGGACGTCAAAACAGCCTTTCTCAAAGGAGATCTGGAAGAGGAAATTTTTCATGTATCAGCCTAAGGGATTTGAGGTGGTTGGATATGAAAATAAAGTGTGTAGGTTGAAGAAAGCACTTTATGGCTTGAAACTGGATCTTGTTAATGGAACAGGAAGCTTTATGAGGTGTCTTCCTAAGGGTTTGCAGCAGATCATTTTGACGAGTGCCTGTATGTTAACATCAGTGGGAGTTTGTTGGTGTTCCCAACCTTCTATGTCGATCACATTTTAATTTCTGGGAGTGATGTTAGGACTTCTGATGATGTCAACTTGTGGCCAAATATACCTTTATGGGTTAGGCATACGTCCTAGGGGCTTAGATTACCAAAGATGGGCAGAGTCACTTTCTCGTCTTATGTCAGACGCAATATGCTTGATATACCATATTGAAGAGACTTGGTATGGAAACTGTAACCCCCTTCTATGTCGATCACATTTTAATTTCTGGGAGTGATGTTAGGACTTCTGATGATGTCAAATTGTTGCTGAATCATACCTTTATGGGTTAGGCATCATACCTCCTAGGGGTTTAGATTACCAAAGATGGGCAGAGTCACTTTCTCGTCTTATGTCAGAGGCAATATACTTGATACCATCTTGAAGAGACTTTGTACGGAAACTGTAAACCCCTTGACACCCCAATGGAAAAAAATGTGAAACTGGCCAACCAAAAGAAAAGGACTTATGGTTAGAGTGTTATATCGATGCTGATTGAGATGGACACTTAGACGAGTCAAAATCCAGTTTTGATGCTTTCAAGGTCAATAGAGGGGTTATTTCATGGCCTGGCAACAAGCAAAGTTATGTTTCACTTTCCACCATGGAAGCAGAACATGTGTCTGCTTCAGTAATCTAGAATGAGGCGATTGCTTTGAGTTTGTTGCTCATTGGTTTGAGGGTCGTAGTCTCAGTTTCTGATCCTGTACGATGTAGTGTGATAATAATTCAATAGTTTCCTTGAGTAAGACCGAGATTCTACTCCAAGCTGAAGAGCACCTAGCTCTAAGTATCATTTGATGAAGCATGAATAACAGATGGAGACATTACCTTCTCCAAGCTGAAGAACACCAAGCTCGAAGTATAATCTGATGAAGCATGAGCAAAGGATGGTGACATTACCTTCTCTCATATTCCAACCGGAGAGATGATAGGGGATACTCTAAGAAATACCAACAAAAGTATTTGGTTAAACCCAAGATAGAGGTAAATAATAATAAAATCACGGTTCACTGTTCTACTTTCATGCGCACTATAGAAAACAATCTAAAAGATCTACCTGTTGCTTCCTTCGGAAATCTCACTCTGATTTTGTGAGGACCCTAATAAGTTCATATGTGCATGTAAATACAGGTATTCAGTTAGCATGCTTAGTTTTTGTATTGTGCAATGTTTCAAACACATGCTTGCTGAAAATTCAGGTTATGCATAGTAAATCACTTAAAACAATATGCTTAATCAATTGCCACCTCAAACAATATGCTTAATCAATACGGACAATATATTCTTTTTATTATGTTATTCTTAGCTTTGAAGAATACATCTTCTCATGCAACAAGCATCAGATATTTGAAAAAGACTCGTTGGGAAAAATCCAGTGTAATCTATATTTCATAAAACTGAGCATTGTATGATTTATACAAAATTACTTCTGTGCATATGCATTTGTCCTCAGCATGCCATCACTAGAACAAATCATGTCATCATATTAGAAATTTAAATTGATTTTAGGAAAACAAATATGCGATAAAATAAAGCAACGTAGGGATTATCTGTGAAACCATAACAGTAGTGGGGGTTTGTGTGGGACTCCACCCATTATATTTATTTGTATATAAATTTACAATAGGTAGAATTTAGTCTTAACGTGATATACAATTTAGAATGGGCCTCACTACAAGTTTCACTTTATCATTCTATGTATATAGTAGTGGGGGTTTGTGTGGGACCCCACAAGTATATTTATTTGTATGAAAGTTTACAATAAGTAGAAGTTAGTCTTAACATGATATACTATTTACAATGGGCCTCACTACAAGTTTCTCTTTATCATTCTATGTATATAATGACCTCACTACATTTGCTATATCTCACTGAAGATCAATTGGGAATCTGTATTTCATATATTTCATATATAATTTTCTCTTTTTGTTCTTTGGGGGAATTCTCTTGTCTTCCAGGATTCTATTTCAAAATTTTCATGTCATCTCCCTAAGTGTCTATTGAGTGGTTTGGTTATGGTCTTCCTCTGCCCAGAAGTTTCTTTCTTACCATATTACTTAAATTAGAAAAAGAGGGGGGGGGGGGCGTGGTGGGGGGGTCTAGGAACTTGTCTTTGAACTTCTTTTAGAACCAATTTCTTAGGAGGCTTTGGATGTTTGAGCTGATTATATCTTTGGTGTTGAAGACATGATTGCTTTCCAAATCTCACCCACGAAGGCACATTTAATGAAGAGGAGATCATGATATTCAATCTCAGTTTTACATAAAGAAGCGTTTCCTATGACCAAGATATTCGCATTTTTGCACTCTATTGGTGGTTAATAGCGCCCATTGATAAACTACCCATGCAAACTGTTTGGTCCTCATGTGTATTGGTTTTACCCATATAGCCTCAGTTGTTTATTATTGGCCTTATGTTATCTAATAATTTCATTGGCGCTTTTTGAGGTAATTTCTCCATATTTTAGGCATCCATTTGAGCATGTCTTCACCCTCATTCCTCACAAGAAGCCTTTTCTAGTATTAGATTCACTTGTAAGAAGAGGATATCATATGTATTCCTGTCCCAACATTAGGATATGGTTTGGGAGCTTCCAAGGCCTGTAATAGAAGGATCCTTCATTAAGCCATGGATCAATGTAAGAATTGATTTTAAAGCTGTCCATTATGATTGGCTAATTATTTTCATTGCTAGGAGTGTTTCTTGTACTCCTTTTCATACCCAAGACTTGCTCGACACTATTCTAGAGTTCCATATGGAACTTCTCCAAGATACTTCCTTGTTGTTAGTTGTGTCCATGTGGAATGCCTTTTGCTAGCCAATTCCCATCCGAGTTGAGTTTAGCTAATAAGGACATGTCAATAGCTTTATTCGTTTTTATACCAATTCCACGTTCGGTTTTTGGTTTACGAGTGTTACTCTATTTGATTTAGTTTAGGTGTTTTTGGTTTTGGGGATTCCCCAAAGGAGCTCTTTTTGAGCTTCTATAGAGTGTTTGTTGTGGTGGAAGGTAGTTTTAAAAGGGGACATCTTTATTTTCTCATCCAAAGCTGAAAAATTAAAATTAGCATTTTGTAGATCTTTGATTTAAAACCAATCTATCTATCTCAGTACTATCTGGTTTTAGTTCCATGATGAGAAACAGGCTTATCTGTATCTTTGAATTTGAATATGAAAATAGAAGGTAATACAACTAAAGGGATGTGCTTCAAGCCTTCGACATATCAGTAGCCTCTCTTTTAACTCTTTCATTATCTTGTAGTTATTCATATCCTATTTAGATTTATGGATTAAAAGTTGATTGTATTTTACCATTCTTACAAACGTGTTAGGTAAAAACCAGTCTCTAATTCTTGGCATAAGGGGGCTGGTTTTGATGTGACTTACAATGACATACCTGCATTGAAGATCTTTATGGTCTTATTCAATAGAGATGTTCGACTTGTACTTTGGAGAGCTGGGATTTTTTACTCTTAAATCTGCTAAAGGTGACATTGAGGGTTTGGTCCATCCCCTCTCTCCTCTCCTTTGATGTCTCACATAAGTATTTAGAGGGGTGTTTGATCTCTTCCTTATGTATAGCGAGTCATAAAGAAACAAGTGCCCCTGGCCGTTTTAGAAAAAGCATAACCAAAAATAAGTGTCTGTCTGATCTCTCAAATTTCACTCATTTAAGATCCAGCATCAGTCCCAATACTCCATTAGGTTTGGCCTATGATGCTTCAGCAACCTGCCATGGTGGTCCAATTATTGTACCTTCCCCCTGCCGTTGACAATCCCTCAATTACGAGAGATGTCCCTTGAGTCCATGTATATGTGCATAGGGCTTCTCGCAATATTTATTCCCATACATGATTTGCAGGAGTTCCTAGGTTGAATAGAACAACAACCCCATTCCGTATAATGACCCCCCCATAAACCCTAAATCAACCATATACTACAAATTCTCCTGGTATTATAAAAATATAAAAGTATATACAATAAGTAAAATTCTCCTGGTATTATAAAAATATAAAAGTAAGATTCTAAAAAAACTCAGAAAATTCAATAAGTTGGAGAAAAAGCATTTTTAACAAATCCAGACTACTTTGCCTTGTCTACAAAGTTTCCCAAATTACTAAAACATTTTTTAAAACATTTATAATTTTAACATTGATATAACTAAGTCGACTCTTCCTGCAAACCATTTTGAGAACTCAGGGACTTGGATGGCATGTCCTTTCGCACATTAAAGATATTTGACAGAGGCCTGTTTTTTGGCCATGCACATGGTCCATCCAAGCAGATGGCACCGTGTCTTCTCAAGAGTCAATCTAGCGAACCTCAAGAGTTCATGCTCACTATTGCCCAACTCCCGCAGCTGTCATGACATGTAATCTGTGTGCTTTGCACATGATATCAAAGTAATAGTGTACCCTTCCTGCTTGACACTTACATCTAAGGTTGTAAAAAACAGCATCTGGCATTTGTGACTAGGACTGCAGATGGCCAGTACACTAGCGAGAATCTCTCTGTAAGATCAGTCCCAGTCCTACGCTCTAGCTGAGGTCACATGACCCACATCTACCTGCATGTGTGAGTCAACAGATCATGCAATCGAGTCCCAAACTCACGGTAAAGAATTCATCTTTGCCGCCTCAAGACACTCTATTGCCTGTTGGGTTGATTGTAGAAAGCTGTCAACCACAGTATCCCTGCAGTATGAGCATAACATTCTAAACATGTTATACCCTTTGACCCACCCCATATAGTTGTACCCATCCCAGCACCAGCTAGTCATAACCATGGGAGTAAAGAACGCACAACCATAATGGAAAGAATTTATCATGATTAGTTTTTACTGCTTTGAAATCTGAGTATATAGAACAAAAAAAAAAAAGAACAAAAAAAAAAACTACAGCAAATTGCTTTGAGGTGATAAACTTCCTACAAATTTCAACCAAATACTGTTCATATATACATTATATTTTGCAATTGGTTTGTAGCAGCCTTGGTCCCATCAAATACTTGAGGGTCTTAACTTTAAGGTCTTAACTTTGTTTTTAAAGTTAAAGGTATTTCTATCCTTTTCCTTAAAGTTTCCTCCATTATTTGTAATTGTGATAATGATGGTAGTACTTAAATTTACCTTTTCCTGCATTATTTGTAATTGTGAAAATGATCGTGGTACTTAAATTTTTCCTTTTTCCTTGAAACTTCCTCCATTTTTTATAATGATAGTAGTGCTTAAATTTTACCACTCTCTCTCTCTCTCTCTCTCTCTCTCTCTCTCTCTCTCTCTCTCTCTCTCTCTCTCTCTCTCTCTCTCTCTCTCTCTCTCTCTCTCTCTCTCTCTCTCTCTCTATCTCTCTCTCTCTCTCGTCTCGTACTCTA